CATAAAATTGATTTTATTTCACTCAATTTCTTTCAAGTAATGTTCACACATTCTGGCCCATTTCCAAACTTTAATAAGGATTAACATAGGCATCTCTAATTTTATATTCTTAATGACTAATTTATTACCAGAAAAAAAGAAATTCAAAGTTGCTTTCTTTGAGCTTACCTAATAGCTAATAAGTTTTCCACATCCCAAACAGGACAACCAAAAATTTGGCTTAATATTCTGGACCTCAGTAGGAATAGTAATTTATTTAACTTAAGTGGCCCCTGATCCTACGATCTCTAGAAACTTAAGGAGTCACTTCATCTCTTGGGCAGTATGGGGCGAGGGAAGAGGCTGATGATCAAACACACAGAATGACAACATGTTACCACCTACTGTTAAGCTAACTAAAGGCTTCTTGTGGCCCCGTGTTGAAACCTTTCTTCTACCCTGGCTTGCAGGGAAGACCTGTGGCCTCCTGGTGAAGAGGCCTGGAGAAAAACTGGACTCACCCTCAATCTACCCTCTGCTCTAGGGCTCCTCGCTTTGAGCGATTTTCACTGGAGGCAGCTTGATTCCCTCCTTGTTCTTGGTTCTTCCTTTTATGTTCAGTAGCAGGAAAGCACAGCTCTGTTTCATTAACCCCTTTCTAATGGTGCCCCAGCTTCCTCATTGCTTCTTCAAGAAGTCTGATTGCTTCCAGGGTATGAGAGACGCAGGACAGTGGACATGCACGGCTTGCCCGGGGGCTCTGACTGGCTACTACAGTCAACCCAGTGAAATCGTGACTCCTAAGAGCAGAGAGCTTTTCTCTGCTCCAGTGGGTCAGAGAGATGAGCCAGAAGGAGAGATGTGAAGTGTGGGAAAGACTCAACTTGCTGTCCCTGCCTCTAAACAGGAAGGGAGACCAAGCAACGTGGGTAGCTTCTAGAGGCTGAGAACAGCCCTCCGCCAACAGCCAGCAAGGAAAGGGGCTCTTGGTCCTCCACTTTGAGGAACTGGATTCAGCCGACAATCTAAATGGCCAAGAAGTGAATCCTCTACGGGGAGGAAAGGCATCAAGGAACGAAGCCCTGCTGAGCCCTCATTTCGGATGAGACCCGAGCCAGACTCCTGACCCACAGAACTGTAAGGTAATGATTTGTTGCTTAAGCTACTAAATTTGTAGTGATCTGTTAATAGCAATAGCAATAGAAAAAAAACACAAAAAACCCACATTCATGTTTCAATACCTTGTTTAACCAGAGGCCCTGCTTCTGCCTTGCGCTTCCCAAGCCCACCTGGATGTTCCTGCCCCTCTCCTGTCCACTCCTCTAGAGTTCTTCCGCCAGCTGTTAGATGTCTATGACTTTTGCAATGGGCAAAGACTGTTCTTAGGTTATTTGGCTTTATTCCTAACCTAAAGATTCCACGTAAACTCCATACTTCTGACAGTGGAAGCCAAATCTTGGTAGTTGCAAGCACAGAAGAACAATTCTCCTCTCTCAAATATCAGGAATAACTTTCAAAGTGATTTTGGACCTCAGATACATGAGCGCAAATGGTTCTGTCCATATTTGTTCATTTTGTGATCTCTGTTCCCAAAAGAAACAACCTTCAGCTTCATGTCCTCGTTCCAATGGTGGCAGGGCTTGGTGGAAAAGAAGGAATCACAGAAGCATAAAATAACAACTTGATTAATATTTTCAATATCCTATACCACGATATCATCTTTTTAAATCATTAAGGCCTTTATTATAAGACTCCCTTCAAAGTTTTAAGGAGCAATCTATTTCTTTGACTTCTAGTTTTGCTACGGTTTGAATTTTTTTACTTTAACTAATTTTTTAAAGAATGACTAATTGTGTGGGGGGGTGGATAACAGGGATTGAACTCAGGGGCACTGGACCACTGAGCCACCTCCCAACCCTATTTTGTATTTTATTTAGACACAGGGTCTCACTGAGTTGCTTAGTGCCTTGCCGTTGCTGAGGCTGGCTTTGAATTCCCGATCCTCCTGCCTCAGCCTCCTGAGCCATTGAGACTAATTTTTTAACATGAAAAAAAACACATAAAATAAATTCACCTGCAACATGTGGTAGAATAAAATGTATTCTACCATATATTCATAACTGCATGCACCATAACAACAGAATGGGTCTCCAGAAGCATTACATCTTGCGTGACTGAAACGCGATACCCACTGACCAACTCTCCATTTATCTTTCCTATAGCCCTTGGTATCCACATTCTACTTCATGATGTTTCTGAGTTTGAACACTTTAAAAGCCTCGTAAGGGGGCTGGGGCTGGGGCTCAGTGGCAGAGCACGCATCTAGCACGTGTGAGGCCCTGGGTTTGATCCTCAGCACCACATAAAAATAAATAAACAAAATAAAGGTATCGTGTCCATCTCCAACTAAAAACCAAAAAATTTTAAAAGCCTCACAAGTAGAATCATGCAGCATTTGTTTTTTGTGATTGGCTACTGCACTTAGTGTGATGTCCTCAAGGTTCATCCGTGTTGTAGCGTTTGATGGGATGTGGTGACCTCCACAGTCTCACTTTCTTCATGTCCATGAGGAAAAAAAAAATCACACCAGAGCCTTGACCGCTCTGTGACCCAATCAGCTTTAGATCGTCCCCAGCGCTGATATAAGTAACTCTATCATTGCCCCAAACATTGAAAGCCGCTGGCCCTGGCCCTGCGCCCAGTTCCTTAAGCCTTCTTAAGAACGCCATGCCCTGGCCTCCTCGCTGCAGGCGCTGTAGGCAGAACACCCCTTTCCTCGAAATCCATTTTGAAGACAGGCTGCAGCATTCAATAAACAAGTTCCCCGGTGAGTGCACTGGGCAGATCACCCTGGAATTCAGCATTTCTTTCTCTGGAATCCCGGCTGGCCCTTCAGGACGACACGGCAGAAAGCTCACTGGGCTCAGTCCGTACCGTCCAGAGCCTTTGTGTCTGTGTCTGCGGGGCTGACAAAGGGGCAGTGCTGTCCGTGTGTCCACATTTTACTGATCCCTGGGATTCCTTCCACTTCTCGGCCAGTGCTCTTTTCATTATAATTATTAGCACATATTAGTTGTATGAATTAATTGGACTCACTGTGATATTTCCATACTTGCAAATATCATGTGTCAATCATATCTATTCTCCCTGCTTTTACCCTCCACTCCTTGTTCCCTGCTTCCTGACCCCCTTACCAATCCCTTGTGGTTTCTCTTCTAATTTCATGTCATTTTTTTTTTTAACTTTCCATGCATGAGAGAAAACATATGATGCTTGTCTTTTGGTGTTTGACTTATTTCACTTCATGTGATGCCCTCTTGTTCTACCTATTTTCCTGCAAGTGACAGGATTTCATTCTTGATGGCTGGGTATTACTCCATTGAATGTATATATACCATATTTTCTTTATCCAATTGTCCATTCACAATATGCCAATTGCTCTTTTGCTGATATTGGCTAAGTCACATCTTCTCTCCTTTCCACCCCTCATGACCCAGGCTTGGCATGTGAAGGTAGGAAAGGGATGTGATATTGAAGTAGGGCACCCAAGAAGACAACACTTTCCTTTCTTACTGCTTCTTTGGGGATAGCTCTATGTTTTTCTTGACATTTTTTTGGGGGGGGCGGTTAGGAAGGAATAACCATCTTCATTCTAAAGAACTGCAAGTCCTCCTATCCCCCAAGGTTAAGGCAAAGCCTAATTTCTGAAGAGTGTTTACCTGAATCCCTCATTCCTGAACTTTCCATCAACCCTTTTAGTTCCTCTGAGCAATAAGGTACTAACTAGTGTTCTCTTGGACCCTAGCCCTTGCCTGGACTTTTTCTTTGATGTGTCATATCCCCAAACCTTTGGTTGGGCTATGAAGTTGATCAATACAACATTCAGACTCATCTACCTGAGACTATCTTGTCCTCTGTCTCGGGGGCCGGGGAGATGAGGGGAGGCATGAGAGTGGATACATAGTAGGTATGCCAGAAATTCCTCATCAAGAGGAAGTCACATCTCTAAAATGATTTTCTGTACATAATTCAGGAAAATTATATGAGCAGCCCTGCATTCCCTGAAATCTCAAGATATGAATACTATCACCAGGTAAAACTGCCAGGCAGACAGAACTGACCTGATAGGCGAAAGAGGAGACTAGGATGGCAGAGAGATGGATCTATTCTAGAAGCTCCTGGTACCCACCTGGAAGGCAGGATGCTTTCTATAATGACAGAACAGTCCTATTTCTTACAAGGAAAAGTGCTTATTCTGTTGGACAGAGTGAGATGGAGGCCAGGGCCTTGGGTCTTTGCTGAGGACTCTAGCTCTGCATGAGTTCTCAGATCACACACTACCATGTGTTCAGCAAATTCCATTTTCTTTTCTTGAAAACACTGCTAGACTACATTTCCCAGCCTCCTTTGCAAATAGGTGGTACCATGTGGTTACAGGAGGGCCAATGGAGGATGAATAACAACTATGAACTCTGCTTCTAGACCAGTCTGTGAACATCTTCTGTGTGGGCCGCTATGCTAACTCTTTTCTCTCATCTTCTGGCTAGATGTAGAGGAACCAGCAGAGGAGGCCCTGGGAGATGACAAGCTACAGGTGGAAGAACTTAGGTCCCTTATGGTGCAGATGACTGCCTACTGACCACTTTGGGTGACATCTATTGTGAGTAAAACTGGACTCACTTTGTAGTTTTGCTACAGCCATTACCCAGGCTGGCTAACACATAGGTCTGATGAGGAAGGCAGAACTGGGTACCTATGTTCCCAAGGTAATGGGAACAAGTCTTGGGGGCTTGTAACAAGGGAAATTAAATTGTAGGGAAGGAATACAAGCTCTCAGGCTTATGATTGATATATTAGTTTATTTGGGAAAAACCTTGAACCTTTTCAGGATGTAGAGATCGAGGAGATTCCAGCAAGATCCTCAGCTGGAGCAAGCAAGTGTCCCACCAGGGAGCCAGGCAGCACTCTTCCCAGACCACACAGCCATCCCGCGTCCATGCCTGAGTTGGGTCACGCAGAACCTAGGGGTGTAGCATGGTTTTCATGGGCTCTCTGGAAGAGAAATGCTAGGTGATTAGAAGTCAGAAGCCCTTGGGGAAATCTGTTTCCAAACTTACTAGCATCCTCTGTTCCAGAGGAGAACAGAAACTCTTTCTGTTACATCAGGAGTCACCAAATTCCAACCAATTTTTTTTTTTTTTCCAAGAGGTTTGCTGACTTTCCAAACAGCTGGAGATCAGGTCTCCTTGGGTCTGGTTGAGAGAAAGAGACCAGTAATTGGGTCCTTGGACAAAGGAAGGATATATAGAATGATGTTTTGAAATACAAAATGAAACTGGAGGAAAAAGTTGCTGTCTTGGTTATTTTGCAGAGTGGTGGCCTGGATTTAGAGACTGGAATTCGGGTGACTGTAGTCTTCTAATGAGGTGACCAGCTTCTGACTGGTGAGTGCAGAGCAGACATCAAGCACACCCAGGGCCTAACCTCCCAACCAACCAACTTACTCATTGTCCAGGCAGATGTTTCCACAGTAAGTCCAGCAGCATGTATGGTTTGGAATTAAACAGCTCAGGGACTTCGTGCACCTTTTCTCACAGTACTTTGATGGAGGCTGCACCCAGCACTGTTCAGTTTCTTTTTCTTCAACTGAAATGGAGATGGTAGAAGTTGGCAGGGTCCCTCCACTTACAACCTGAAGAAACCCTTTTCAAGCTGAAGAAACCTTTCCGGAACTAGGGCTTCAGGTCGCAAGCGAAGTAGTTCTCTGACCTCCAAGAAAATTCCTTCCTCAAATTCTAACCAGCATCTCTTCCCCAGAGATGCCTACTGACCACTTCTGGTGACATGTATTGTGAGTGAAACTGAATCTCACTTACATGACATATGCTCCCTCCTTCCACGTTACCACAGTCCTGCAGGATTCTGGGTACTAAAGACAACACCTGGGATACCCTCACTGTGTATGACACCATACCACTAAATTCATTCTCATATAACCTTAGTTTTTAAGGCTAACAATATCCTCTAGCTCCAATTTCCATATCTGATTAGCAGAATGGGAAACCTGAGCTAAGGGAGAATAGGAACCTAATTGCCTCCCTTCCTATTCGTCCCCTGTTGATACCACCAATGAACTCGCCCTCTTCCTAGATTCTATGCTCTCACTGATCACCACATTTCTGCTCAGTTAGCCTCACTTTTTAATCATATGACCCCACGATCCATTAAAGACTCCTTATTTGTCTTTTTCATTTTTTTGTGTGTTCTAAGATGTTCTTCCCTTCAAATTAAATATGCATGTGTTAAACATCATCCTTTTGGCCCTCATCAAAGGCTCATCCCCTTGGGGCACAGAGATCTGAAAATATGGTCTCAAAGGGAAGCTCTGTGTCGATATTTCCCTTATTCCAGCTGGATACCCTCACATTGGGAAATATTATTCCCTGCTAGTTCAGGATTGTAGGCAAAAGCTGTGCTCCTTTTCCATACACTCAATTTGCTTCCAAGGATGGGGAGGGAGCTTGGAGGGATGCCATCTTGCTTGGATGTCTCGGTTAAAGAGGGCTCTGGTTCTTTAAAGGCTGATCCTGGAAATGTGGGTCCTGAACCAGCTGTGATAGATCCCCAGAACTGGACAGAGCACCGCCCCCCTCCCACACCACCACCGCTACCCTCTTTGTTCCTGAAGCTTCCCAGAATGGGCGGAAGCACTGCAACCCCACAGGCGAACAGGATCAGCAGGAGAATCCCCAGCCTCATGGTTGGCTCTGCGTGTGTTGGGTTGACTTCTGGCGGAAGATGGGTGGAGGTAGAAAGGGGGCCGAGGAGAAGAGGGTAGGAGAGAGAGCGAAAGTGCTTATTATCATATTAAGTTATTCTTTTTCCTACTCTTCTTCCTCTAGTACCGACCACAGTTCAACTCCCAAGCTAGGCATTGCTTTTCTTTAAAAAAAATCGCATTGTTTTATGATTTAAAATGACCAATCTTCAGATTATATAATTTGTAAAATAAATCCGTAGTTCACCACCTAGAGACGACCAGTACATGAGTATACTTTAATGTCACAGTCATTTTTTATGAAATCGGACACATTATGTGTCCTGGTATTTAACCTGAAAATATATGTAATGGGGGGGGTACAGTGGACACTTCAGTGAAGGCATTAAGACAAGAGGTCCTGGATCAGACCAGAGGTGTGGAAGAGCCTCTACCACAGCCTCCACCAGGAGTCAGTCCGGCTGACACCTTGGTCTTGGACTTCTAGCTTCCAGAATTGTTACAAAATAGATCTATTTTGTTTAAGCTGCCTCATTATGATACTTTCCTAAGGCAGCCCTGGCAAACTACCATAATGCATGACAAGTGCTCATTAAATATTAACCAGTATTCTTAGCCCTGTGCACTTTCAATCTAACTATACTAGGAAAATCCTGTTTTCACTCTTAAGTTCATTTTCCAGATTTTTTTTTAAAAGGTCGTAGATTGATTCCAAAGTCAAAGAAACTGTTCATTCAGCAGAACTTGAGAAAAGTTGTTGGCAACAACAGGTTAGGGCTCATGAAACACCCACAGAGATGATGCCGAGTTGAAGGGATTGGAAAGAGGATCTTCTTCTGCTTTTTTTTTTTTTTTAATGGCCCTGGGGATTAAACCCAGGGCCTTGTTCATGCGAGGCAAGCACTCTACCAACCTGAGCTATGTCCCCAGCCTGTAAAGGGGACCTTGAAGTGAATGTGAAGGCCATCCTGAGAGTTTACTGCATGTCCCCAGAAGTGGATGGGCACCCAATATATTTGTGTTAGGGTCAAGAGACTCTGAAAGTGTGGGCATCTGGCTAACGTGGTTTTGGTAGCAGAGAGGAGGGCTTCAGTTTGGGAGGTGTCCAAGTTATAACTGGCCAGGTGACATTTTATGTCTCCAAGGAACCCGCGAAATCTCCTCCAGAAGAGCCGGGAGGTGAGCACAAAGCCAGCTTATGATGCTATCTGACGTGCCACGACTCTCCCCACTCCTCTCGGTCCTGGGAGACAGTCAGCTTGGGCAGGAGGAGCAGAAACCTGAAGCACTAAAGTAATAGCATAGGAGGGATCTTGACCATGTCCTGTGACTTCTGAGGGAGGAGAGAGGCCACAGCTATCAACAGCTTATGGGGTTGTTAATTGCATGGGCCTGGGCCAGCACAATTGAATTAATAAATTGAGAAGCTAGCCTGTGGTTGAAGAGTCACATAAAATTTGTCTTTTCTAAGTTTTCCTGAAGAAACAAAGGAAATAACTAGCCATTTTGAAAAAAACAAAAACAAAGACTTGATGACATCATACAAGTCATGCCAACAGTCCAATTATTATCACTCCTCATGTTCTGAAGGCCTGAATATCTCCTTCCTTCTTTTTTATATTTATTTTTTAGTTTTAGATGGATACAATATTTTTATTTTATTTTTATGTGGTGCTGAGGATCGAACCCAGTGCCTCACGCATGCCAGGCGAGCGCTCTACCACTTGAGCCACATCCCCAGCCCCCCCTCTCCTTTCTTCTTGACAGAAGAATATCCAGATAAACCTCCTTACCGCTGAAGTTTGGCACATATGATATTGTTTTTTATAGCATGGGTTAATGGAGAAGCGTTCCTGGGCTCGCTGCCACAAAATCGCTGCCACAATTTTCTCACCAAGAGTTGAGTTGCATTTCTACCCCCTGGACATGGGCTGCTCCCTCCCTGCACCTGTCCTACCCTAGGCAACACCAAGGTCATTTGTTTGCTGCTTAGTATTTTACAGAAGAAAGAATGTGGGCACCAGAGTAAGAGAGGCTTGAGCTGGAATCCTAACCCCCACCTCTCAGCTCTGGAACCTGGGCCAGCCACCTAACTCCCAGGACTGATGGAGGAGCGTCAGGGAGGGAGACTCCCTCCCGCCCACCTCTGCCCCCTTCACCCTCTGTCTGCTGCTCTATCTTCCTGAGACCAAAAAGGGAGGAATATCAAAGAGACACAGCAAAGGGTAAAATTCTGATATTGTGACAACAGGTGGTGATTGTCCATCTCTCTGAAAGTCTTCATGCTTGTTCAGAAGTTTTCAACCCAAACGGAGGAGACTCGTCTATACTGTCCAATAGGACAGCCCTTGGCCACATCATCATGTGAGCCATCATTCAAATTTATTAAATCAAATTAAAAATCCAATTGTTGGCCATCTTAGGTACTCAGTAGCCACAGGTAGCCAGGGGCCATTACTTCAGGGTAACTCAGACAGAGCATTTCTATTATCAAAAAAGTCCTACTGAACAGTGCTGCTCTAGATACCCACCAAGACTACTCTGCTGAAAAGCAGGTGTAACTGCAGAGATCACTTGAAAGGAACTGTGAAGACTCTTTCTCCTCTTGGCATTTGTGAAATTTGGAAGTTGGAAAAATACATGTTTTAGGTACATGAATCACTAGATACACTGACTTTTAGGAAAACTGGTTTTAGAAGATTGGAGGAGAGGCAAGAGATTAGGGAGAGAAAGAAAAGGAGAAATTGTGAACAATCAGGTGTTTGGGGGTTTCCACTCCTCAACACTTGTATCTGCTATTGGACCTTCTCCATTCAAACCAAGTCCCTGCTGGCTTGCCTCAGTGGGCAGGATGATAGAACATTGCCAAGTTGAGAAGTTGAGACTTCATTTACCACCGGGTGACATTTATGACAAAAAATACAGCTTAATTGGTGAAGGCCAATTAAGAGAACTTCAGGCTATCAGAGAACCATCTTTGAAGCATGGTAGATTTCCAGAAATCCTGCAAATCACTCGCATTCTTTGCACAGGGAAGTTAACTAACCAGGGCAGTTTGCCCAGCCTTTGAACCCAAGGCCCTGAGTATTCTGATCCCGCGAAGACACCAGCAAGCACCGTGTGAGGTGGGCATGCAGTGCTTAGACTCTGTGACCCACTTCCAGGTGGGGATGCGCGGTATGGGCCACCTGGCTGAGGGTGGGCATGGATTGCAGTGGGCCTCCGGGTTCCTGGCACCCGCCTTTTGCATAAAAAAGGAGGAAGACTGGAACCTAGAGACAGAAACCCAGTAAACCCAAAGCCATTGGTTCTATGAGGCTGTTTCTTTGTATTCAAAAATATCATCCTAGACTCAAGTTTTCCAGAGCTTTAAGATCTGTTCATTTAGAAGGTCACATTCTTGTTCTAACATCATGGCCCCCAAGAGGTGTTCAGGATCCTGGAGATGCCCAATTCCTTTCTTGCACACTTTAAGAACCCTGAATTATCTCAGAGGAGAGACGCCATCACGGCCGGGACACTTCTCAGATCCTGTCCAGGCTGGGCGCTTCTCACATACAGAGTTCTAGGTGAATTCTTTGGTCATCTGAGATAAAGTGCAAGATAATTAAAAGATCTACAGGTGTCAGAATGACACAAGAGCTACTGCTGACCCCCAAAATATGGGATCCTGGGTTTCCCAGATACTGTTACGAGAAAGTTCTGGATTTAGAGTCAGGAATGCTGGTTTTGTCTGTGCCCCTTTTACTTTTCGGGACCTCAGACAGGTCACATTACCTCTCTCTCTGTTTCCTTATTTGAACAAAACAAGAAGGTGACCTAGAGATTGTAGAAATGCGGGTCCTAGGAACAGCATTGCCCCCACCTGGACGGGAACACACCCAAGCACCCCACAAACAACAGCGCAAGCCTCAAGACCTGAACCCCACCTACCTCTGGAGGTGACTACGGACTGGCTGACAGCTCTGTGTCTTGCCTCTTGTTACTGGGACGGGGTGCCTGAAAGCTGAAACAGAGGCCAAAGAGCAGGAAAACAAAGTGTAAAGGTCTAGAAATCAATAGTGATTTAGGTATCAGATGTTTGGTTCTCCCCAAAATTACTGTTGGCTGTATTACAGACATTTTTTTTAAATACTCACCCATCCAGAAGTATTTTCTTTGATATAGTCAGTGTCTCCTGTAAGCTGGAAAGAACACTGTGTACGGGTGATAGCTCTGGCTACCCACGGGATACCTAAGTGACGCGGCTCCAAAGTCTATTGATGCGTCTGAGTTCGCCCACAGATAGGGGTCGAGGGCAGAGTCTGTCTTTAACATCCATCCTGCTCAGGACTGATTCTCCTTTGCCAATAAATCCACAGCCCTCTCTCCCACCAAATGCCTTCCAGATCTTCTGTAGATAAAAGGAGACTGAAGGGAAGGATTTTGGAAGAGCCTGATGACCAGCTAACAAATGAAGGAAATGAAACGATCAAATCCAGCGGTTGGCACAGGCTTGTTGGTAGAGGGTGGAGAGATGCAGTCACCAAACACCAGGGCAGGCATCACACCAGACACGTCCGTGCCGTTTGGGGATCTTTAGAAAAGGTCCAGTGGACCAGAGTCAGGGGCCCTCGAGGAGCAGACTTCCTTCTCTAAACCCGTCTCCAGGAATGTTTACACAGAGGCAAGAGCAGCCCGTGTGTCACACTTGTTCCCACAGGAAGGACCGCCAGGAGGAGGACGAGCCAGTACAAAGACAAGCACGGAGCGCAGAGACCTGGGACCAAAGGCCTGGGATAAACCGGGGGCCACGTGCCAGAGGCTTCGTCCCCAGCGTGGCAATGTGAAGAGGTGGTAGAAACTTTAAGAGATTGGCGGGTACTTGGGGACACCGTCTTTGGGAAGGGTTAGTGCCTGTCTTGTGGATGAGTTAGTTCTCACTAGTAGGTTGTTATAAAAGGAAGCTGCCCCACACTGGGGCTCGTTCTGCACACAGCTG